AGATGGAGAGATAATTATAGATTGATGGAGAGCAGGAGATATGAGACAGAGGGAGGGAGAGAGAAGATGATGCAGGAGGAGGTGAGTAGACGGGTCCCTGTATATTAGGAGGAGGTGGGATGTCCTGTATATTAGACAACAGTATATATACATGCTGGTGGTGTAGGGGGGGTCTCTCTCGGTGTACAGCAGGAAATTACCTTGACTTCCTCTTTATGATTTGGTCTCTAGTCTAATCCGGACAAGCAGGGGCTTCTCTATCCGGCAGCCAGCCAAATTCCTCTCTGTCCTCTGTGCCGGGAATCCAGTGGCTTGTGGCCCCAGCAGAGCAGAGGGGCCCGGCACAAGAAGTCCCCTGGATCCCGATATATAGAACAAGTATCACTCTTCCCTCCGGAATCCTGAGACTGTAATACAATCTCTGAAGTTCCATCATTAAAAAAAACAACTTCCCCGGATCCAGAGAACTCGTCATCATAATACACAGAGATCCGACCCCAGACTGTTATAATACAGGGGGATCTGACCCCAGACAATTATAATACAGGGGGATCTGACCCCAGACAATTATAATACAGGGGGATCTGACCCCAGACAATTATAATACAGGGGGATCTGACCCCAGACAATTATAATACAGGGGGATCTGACCCCAGACTGTTATAATACAGGGGGATCTGACCCCAGACAATTATAATACAGGGGGATCTGACCCCAGACTGTTATAATACAGGGAGATCTGACCCCAGACAATTATAATACAGGGGGATCTGACCCCAGACTGTTATAATACAGGGAGATCTGACCCCAGACAATTATAATACAGGGGGATCTGACCCCAGACTGTTATAATACAGGGAGATCTGACCCCAGACAATTATAATACAGGGGGATCTGACCCCAGACTGTTATAATACAGGGAGATCTGACCCCAGACTGTTATAATACAGGGGGATCTGACCCCAGACTGTTATAATACAGGGGGATCTGACCCCAGACTGTTATAATACAGGGAGATCTGACCCCAGACTGTTATAATACAGGGGGATCTGACCCCAGACTGTTATAATACAGGGGGATCTGACCCCAGACTGTTATAATACAGGGAGATCTGACCCCAGACTGTTATAATACAGGGGGATCTGACCCCAGACTGTTATAATACAGGGAGATCTGACCCCAGACTGTTATAATACAGGGGGATCTGACCCCAGACTATTATAATACAGGGGGATCCGACCCCAGACTATTATTTTAGAGGGGGATCTGACCCCACACTATTATAATACAGATAGATCTGACCCCAGACTATTATAATACAGAGTGATCTGACCCCAGACTATTGTAATACAGAGTGATCTGACCCCAGACTATTATAATACAGAGAGATCCGACCCCAGACTGTTATAATACAGGGGGATCTGACCCCAGACAATTATAATACAGGGGGATCTGACCCCAGACTGTTATAATACAGGGAGATCTGACCCCAGACTGTTATAATACAGGGGGATCTGACCCCAGACAATTATAATACAGGGGGATCTGACCCCAGACTGTTATAATACAGGGAGATCTGACCCCAGACTGTTATAATACAGGGGGATCTGACCCCAAACTATTATAATGCAGAGTGATCTGACCCCAAACTATTATAATACAGAGCGATCTGACCCCACACTATTATAATACAGAGTGATCTGACCCCGTGCTATTATAATACAGAGTGATCTGACCCCACACTATTATAATACAGAGTGATCTGACCCCAGACTATTATAATACAGGGGGGATACTGACCTTAGAGCTTGAAGCTCAGTAGATTACAGCATGTTTTCTGTCCTGAACTTTGGCGAACGCTCTCCCTGTGTTTTTCCTCCGGACTCCCCGCAAACTTGTAATCCACTTGGTCTGTTTGGATCTAGCGTGACCCTGAGGTCGGCAAGATCCGGCAGCAGAAGCGGGTCCTTCTTGTGCCAGGTTTGGCCCCCTGGTGGGAAAGGTACCTGGAGGAGAGGTGAGCAGGGAGCAGTCAGTCCTGATAACAGGAATCTCGGTGCAGGCGTGCACTTGTACTGACACACACCTTCCCTTTAATCCCCCAAGCAAAGAACGAAAGGCAAAGAGAGGCCACTGCACAGGAAACCCTGTCACGGGGGGCCAGAACCCCCAAAATCACTCTGCGTCCAGCTAGAAGGCCATTGTCATCCAAGGGTGGTCT